TACTGGAACCCTAAACAATCAGATTTTACTCTCACTTCTAGACCTAAGACCCCAATAACTTTCGAGCACGGCAGTATTTTCCACAAACAGCCTGTGCGGAAGACAAGTGTTGCCCAAGTCCGGTTTTGTTCTCACACCGCACTTCGCAGATTATTTCCAAAGTGCCACCAACGAGGCGGCTAACACATCAGAGCCAGTATTGGTTACTGAAGACACCCCAGACCCGCGGGGCCGGGGGCGACTCATTCCCCGGGCCCCGCAGGAACCCAAGGTCAGGACTACTCGGCGATGCTGCCTCGCACCCGGGAGGCCACACACTTTCCCCGGAGTCCACGGGGTCGCTGGGCCACAGCCGCCCCCGGGCGGCGGAGACTCACACGTGACCCTGAAAGAAAGTGATCTTCCGCAGCGCCCCCCCTAGGGCGCGCCAGCTGCAGAGCAATCCTCGAACTCCCGCAGCCTCGGACTCCCGGACCAGGGCAATTTCCCCTCTCGCCCCGCCCCCGTCCCGCCCCGTCCCGCCCCGTCCCGCCCCCTGAGGCCCGGCTCGGCCAATCCCGTGCGTCGCCGGGAGGGACCTGTCCCGGCAGACGGAAGTAGGTCTACGTCACTGCGGGTGAGCTGCCCCGCTTCCGGCCCACGCTGGGGGCTTTTGACACCGGGTCGGCAGAGGCGACGCTGCGGCGGGGCGCTTCGCAGATCTGGGCGTCAGAGTTTCCTCCTGGCGCCAGCGCCACCTCAAAGGTCAGGGCTCGCCCACTCCTCCCTGGTCTCGGCGACCTAACCTTTCGGGGGCTCCGAGGGGAAATTCGCTGAGCCTGCTGGACTTCTCCATAACCTGCTTTACTGCACGGTGAAAGATACGTTTATTTGGTATCTCAAGGTCTTCCTTAGGCCCAGTAGCTCGGTTTAAATTCCTTCTCGTCAGGGAATCGTGAAAATGATGTCAACTTCCTCACTGCACTTGAAATTTCACATCTCATGTTCATCAAATGACTTTGATGTGAGAAATAAGGAATTTATTAAAATAGGACTAAGAAATCGGATGATCGCATCGTAAACTACGGTGTCTCATAAGTGTATTCATCTAGAGCAGTCAAGAAAACCCGTCAAGTAGTACAGGGTGAAGGCAGCACGTAGTTGCCGAGCAGCTGCGGGTGCCGGGAAGGTAGAGATGCTGACCAACCCTGACCGAGGTAGAATGCAAAGTCCTGGCCTGGAGTTTACAGGACCAGGAGGAGGCAGACCGAAAGAGAGCCCTGGAATGGGGCAGAGAACCGTTCAGAGTGTCCTCTGAGTGAGATGAGAAGATGCCAAATGTGAGAGTGACCCATGAAAAAGCAGCAAAGGGCCTGGTAGCCACGAGGATGATCGGGATGACTGGGTAGAGTTCTGTATCAGAACCCGGAGAAGGGCCACGGGCGGCTTTTGCTACCATGGTAATGCCAGGTGTCGGTTCCTGAACCCGAGCTCCACAAGGCAGAACAAAAGCGGTCCCTTTAGATGTTAAAACTGCTGCAGTAAACGTGAGGTCTTTGAAAACAGGGACAGTTTTGAGTTTGTACTTCCCACAGTGCATAAAGACTTTGTGAGACGTGGAGTAAGAAAGGTAGTGGACAGGATGGGGGGGGGGGGCTCTGCCTGGAAATAGGGAACTGGGCTAGGAGGTGTCTTCATTGCCAGTCCAAGAGCAATGATTTTTTGGTAAGTGGTTGGCTTTTTTGGCTGTTCTATAAATGGGTGATGAGAAATGTGTCTGAACTATAAAGACTCATGAGGATCACTGACATTATTAACACTGATAGAGTCAGTGGTGGGTAGAGTGTGAAATTTGGCATGAGAATATCTGAATTTGACCAAGACTGCAGGACTTTATACAGTCATTTCACCCTTCTGGACTCAGTCTTTGCATCCATAAGTATAGTAATACCTTCCAGAAAGTCATTATATAATGTCTAAAGCCAGTACGTGAGAAAGAAAATATTAGCATGCTGTTTAAAAATACCGAGATAATTACCAGAAGAAATAATTTCAAGAGTTGAAAATACTTGCTTGTGGGGACCAGAACTGAGGGTTGGGAAGGACCAGCACCAAGGTCTGCAGCATGAGTTAGCTCTGCTCTCTAGCAGCCCCTGCCTGGCACAGCCTGCCTCTTGGCGTGGTTTCTGTGTCGGGTTACTGTGCAGTACCTGGGCGGCTCTGTTCCACACGCAATCATTCTGAAACCCAGGTTGGTGGGGCAGTGCTAGCATCCCTGGGGAAAATGCCTCTGGAAGTTCAAAGGTGTAAAAGCCGAGGCCTGGTCACTGGGTCCGTACTGCGCCAGGCTGTGGTGGGTCCTCTGTTAATATCCCTTTGGCCAAAACAGGGCTAAACCCCAAAGTTAAGGGACAGGAAGTACATTCACCCATGCAGGTGGAAGGGGAAGGAGTACTCCTGAAAAGTAACTCAATCTACCATAATATTTGAGTTGTTGAACTGTGTGCACTGTTTGAATTGGATCCACTTCGGTTCTTGATGATGGTGAATACGTATGTTTTTTAAAACTAAAATTCCAGAGCTGGAACAAAACAGTCTTTTAGCTTTCCTTCCATCTACCTAAATTTCTCCTGGTTTTGTTTTGCTTTGAGACAGGGTCTCGCTATGTAGCTCAGGCTGGCCTTGAACTCACTGTGTAGCCCAGGATGACCTTGAACTCATGGTGCTCCTCCTGCCTCAGCTTCCCAAGTGCCGGGATTACAGATGTGCGCCACCATGCCCACCTCCCTCCTAGGTTTTGAGGCACGTGTCTAAGCTAACTCTGTCTCCATATTCTTTCAAAGTTCAAGGGAATGGCTTTTGCCTGGTTCCTTCCCAAACAACCAAAGGTGAAGTCATTCTGGAATTCCTAAAATGCTTTCTTCCTAGGCTACCAAATGATCAAGAGCATTTTTAAACATTTGGACGAGTACAGAGTGTTGCATACATGACTTTGGAACTTTAAAATGAAATAAAAAGCACTGTTTGATCTCTTATATTGCTGGCGAGAGTGCTGAGTGGTTCACTTTGTATGGGGCTGTTGTTCAAATGCACGTCCCCCTTCTGGGCATTTACCCTCCACTCTGCTCGCACACATATGTCCTGTGTGTAAGGTTGTTAGGCACAGAGCTGTCTGCACAGAAAATGATGAAAATAACCTACATGATCAGTGGGGCGCTGGTGAGGTCACCCATAGAGCATGCCCACGGGTACTGCTCCAGAGGGGGTCCTTTTGCTATGGAAGGGTTCCAAGATGTCCCTGTGATAAGTGTGTACAGGTGTGGGTGTAGAGGAAAGCTCAGAACAAAGTATAGAGTACACACTTTCATGCAAAAAAGGAGGCAAATAATAGCTGTACTTGCATGAAGAAGTGCTGGAAGATGGTGCAAGACAGAATGGTTGTTGCCTGGGGGAGGTAGGGATGCAGCGTGATGAGCACAGGAACAGTGTAACTTGAGTCATCTTGGATTTTCAAACAGTGCAGTGGTTCACACAGCGCAGCGGCGCACACCTGTAACCTCAGCAGTCTGGGAGGCTGAGGCAGGAAGATTCCAAGTTTGAGCCCAGCCTGGGCAGGTTAGCAAGATCCTGTCTCAAAATCAAAAAGGACCGTGGATGTAACTCAGTACTAAAAAAGCCCGAAGCATTAATATTCAAAAACTTAAAAGAAATAAATTAGGTAATGTAAATAAATGCAATCCATTAAGTACTTATTAGACTTGTCCTCATTGCTTCACTCCTTAGAGGCAGCAGCCGCAGAACTTTTTTGGGGCGATAACAGATATTCTTCCTTTAACGACCAGCCCGTTTAACAACCTTTCCAGCTTACAACCCGTCTTTGTGTGTGTGTGTGTGTGTGTGTGTGCAATTCTGTACACCTTGTTGATAGAGCCCCAATATCATTTTTGGGTACATACACCTCATTTTACACGGTACTGTAATTTTTGCTGACTGTACCGTACAGTACAGTGCTGAAGTTTACGTTGTTACACAGTACAGTACTGCGTGTAGGTTACGCAAATAAAAGCAAAGTGGACAAGTTGGAGTTTCCTTTGACCATTTCTTTGTTCTGAATATTGTAATGTACATACTATATATGATTCCTCATCTAACTACCAAGTCGCAGGAACGGAGCTCGTTGGAGGAATGCCTGTGTTGGGGATTGAATCCAGGGCCTTTGCACTAAACTGCATAAACTGTCTCGGGTTGGGCTTGAACCTACGATCCTCCTGCCTCAGCCTCCCCTTGTGCTGGGTTGCAGGCGTGCGCACCACGCAAGGCAGAGGCAAGACTGCCCGTGGCTGTGAGTCAGTGCTGGACAGAGTCGACGAGGCGTGGGGGCCAGGGCCAGGATGACCTGGAAGAAAGGCTCCTAGCAGGTCGGGGCAACACCGGAGACGGTGCGGGAAAGGGGGACAGAGGGAGCCGAGTGCACAGAGGGAGCCGAGTGCACAGAAGGAACGCGAAGGAACCAATCGACTTCGTAAAACAGCCCGCGAAGTCGCCCCACCGCTCCCCCGCGGAGAGCGCTTTACGCCAGGGCCCTCCACCCCGGCTGCCGGCCGGCGGAACCGTACCACTCTCGGAGCGGCAGGGGGGCGGGAGTTCGCGCGTCTCCTCCCCCTGAGTACAGGGGTGGGCTCGGCCGGAAGTGACGCGGTAGCGCGAAGCGGCGTGAGTCTGCGCAGTGCGGCGCCGAGTGTGGGTGGAGGGTGCGCGCGCGTTCCGCTGGAGTGTGCTGGGGTGAGTGGTGCCGGCGCGGCGGGGGGGGGAGCTCCGGGTCCTGCGGGGTCGCGACGCCGAAGCGTCGGAGAGCGCGGCAGGCCGCCGGCCCGAGCTCGCCAGCGGTGGTCTGCAGCCGTTTTGTGCGTGCGCGGCAAACCCTCCAGAAAGCACGGGGCTGGGCGTGGTGTGGCTCGAGCAGAAAAACGAGGGCGGAGTCTTCAGCAAGGGGAATTTCCGTCTTTCTCAGTCAGAAAGTGGGTTCGGGTATTTAATAGCCTCCCCCGTTTTCAGTGGTTATTGGAACCAGAACATAAAAATCCCAGAAGTCTTGCGGGCCAGTTTCAAGAAAGCTATTTAAATTTTTGCCCTGTTTCTCTATGAAACAGTACTTTAAGAAAGACAGTCTTTACGAAGGGCATTGCGTGAAGTGTAAGACCTATATACTCGTGATTTAGGGAACTTAATATTTAACAGATTTTTAGAAATTGGATTTAAGAAAGTGCAGTAAAGGAAAACAATACACGTTAACCTCACTGCTCTCATCTTAGAGCAGTTGAAACTGCTGTGTATGTCAATATTAATCGAAAATGCTGTTTTTCGGGACTATATTTATCGGGACTGTCTCCCTAGGAAGTACTTAACTGTGCTTGAAAAGGTTCGGATATTCTAGAATTGCACTGAAAATTTGTTTGAAATTTTTTTCAGTCTTTTAAAGGTACATAAAAATGGCTTCGAAGAGAGCCCTGGTCATCCTGGCCAAAGGCGCGGAGGAGATGGAGACGGTCATCCCCGTGGATGTCATGAGGCGCGCCGGGGTAAGGCCCCTGCTGTTTCAGCCCTCCTTGCAGGTCATGTTGAATAAAATACTTCGGATATGTACAGCACTGCAGTGATTACATAATGCCAGCCTGCTTAGTCACTGTCCGTGTTTAATACAGATTTTGCCTTTCAGACCAGTGTTTTCCTTCCTTCCTCCTCCTCTCCTCTCCTCTGCTTCCCTCCCTCCCTTTCCTTCCTTGCAGTCCATCCTTGAGCTGGTGTCTCCCTATCTTGCCCAGGCTAGCCCTGAACTCCTGGACTCAGATGATCCTCCTGTCTCAGCCTCCCATAGCTAGGATTACAGCTTGGTGCCCAGCCCTAGACCCATTTCTTAAAGAGCACCTGCATTTAAAGAAACACACCCAGTCAGTACTAGGAAAAAAAGGAAAGAAGTACACTTGAAGTCGCCATTGTAAATTTTGCTAGTCCTATGACCTCCCCTCAGCCCCTCCTCACATGAGTGAGTCTGGCCCCGTGGCGTGCTCTGCTTGTTTAGCTGTCATCATACCGTGCATTTCTGTGGGCAGCACAGCAGCAGGCACTTCAGTGGCACTCACTCCGTGCCAGGCTGCACTCTGAGCACTTCTACGAAACCTACCACAATGCTGTGACTTAGATACTGCCCCCCCCCCGCCCCGCCCCAGCTGAGGAAGCTGAGGCACAGAGCTACTAAATAATTTGAGAAGAGGCAGATCATTGACCCAGGCAATCTGGCCCCAGTCTATTTACACTCTTCTGGTTCTCAAAAATCAAAATCTACTTTCTTGACATTGCTGCTCAATTGGGTATTGTGTGAACATGCCACATCCCATCTAATGACAGCCTAATGACACTGTAATACATTTTGTTTTTTGCTTTTGCTGCTGAAAATTGAACCCAGAGATGTGTGCATGCTAAGCACCACCACACACGCACACGCAGACACACACTGAGCTGGGTCTCTGCCCTGGAAATACTCTGATGGCTTTACTGGTGCAGATGTATCAGTTTTTTCAGGTCCTACACCTAAAAGTGGAATTGTAGGCCCAGGGAAAGATGTAGTCAGCAATGCTAGATTTTGCCAAGCTGCCTTCCAGTGTAAAACAATCTGTATTTCAGCAGCAGGGTAGGAAAATTCCCTGTTTTCCACAAGCACAAGGACCCGAGTTCAATCCCCGGTACCAAAAAAAAAAAAATCAAAATTCCCTGTTTTCTGGCATCACCTCTTGGTATCATCAACTTTTTTGACATTTGCAAGATAAAGTGGTATGTTATCTTTTTTTCTTTTTTTTTTGGTACTGGGGATCAAACTGGGAACCTTGCACTTGCGAGCCAGGTGGCGGAACCACTGTGCTAAATCCCTGGCCTGTATGTTATTGTTTTAACCTTCGTTTCTACCTTAGGAAAACAACATGAGGTTTAAATGGCAACACCGACCTTACAGGATGGGTTATTAATAGGATGACTGTAATTCATCTCCCAAACCAGCACTCTTGGGAGAGAAAGGGCATGGGGCAGGCACAGACCTAGTTAGTGAATATGTTTAGCTAGCGTAGCAGCTTAAAATTCAGTGTGGTTTTGTTGCAGTACTTCCTGCCAAATTATTTTAAAATGCATGTAAACTATGAAAATGTTGACTTTTAAAATTTGTGTTTCAGCATCCCTAAATGTCACCATGTCTTTCTTTTAGATTAGGGTCACCGTTGCAGGTCTGGCTGGGAACGACCCGGTACAGTGTAGCCGTGACGTGGTCATTTGTCCTGACACAAGTCTGGAAGAGGCAAAAAAGCAGGTTTGTTCTCTGTATGTGAAGTTCTTCCTTCATGTGGTTCTTCATTAGTTTCTGGCACATTGAAGACTGTCATTAGCAGAGACTTGTTGAGAAACTTACTTTGTTGGGAGTCTCCCCCACGCTGGGAGGGCAAGGGCTTTGCCATTCTGCTTTGTGTCAGTGGAACTTGGTGACTGCTGGGCACCACATGCAGTCAGACAGGCAACAGGGGCCTGGGGCTGGGGCTGGGGCTGGGTGAGGCTTGGGTACAAGGTCTGTCTGGTATCGTCTGGCTTACAAAGGCAGCCTTGCTTCCTATGGAAATGGTTTTTGCCTGATACAAGAATCAGCTGCCCCATTTCCCATTTACTTTTTATTCCTATTTCTAGGCCTTTATTTTTTATTTTGAGACAGGCTCTAAGTTGCCCAGGTGGGCTCAAACTTGCAATCCTCCAGCCTCAGTCTCCTGAGTGGATAGGACAATAGACACACACCACTGCACTCTGGATATTTTTGTCTTTTTATAAGAGTGTGATTATTATTACACTTGGTGCTTTGCAACATGCGACTATCTTCAGATTTTCTGCATTTTTTGCTGACTATAAGAACATTCCATCACTGGGACACCTCAGCATTTTTTGTTTGGTGGTGGTGGTGGTTGTTTTTTGGTGCTGGGGATTGAACCCTGTGCCGCCTCATGTTCGAGCATGCGCTCTACCCCTTCCTAACTGTTCTTTTGACTGGTACTTAGATTACCTCCTGTATTTTGCTTGTGACTTAAAATACAAGTGTTCAGACTGTCTCTTCTGTGCACATTTGAAATGAAATGTTCTTTTGGTGTCCCGCACTGTCCCAGGGCCCCTACGACGTGGTGGTTCTCCCCGGAGGCAACCTGGGCGCGCAGAATTTATCTGAGGTAAAACCCCACTCGGCCCCCATCCAGGAGCGGGCAGGAAGGCTCAGGAAAGTGTTCGGCATGAACGTGTGTGCCATTGTCGGTTATTATCCGACAGCTCAGGGAGAAGGCTGTGAGCAAGAGGAATAATGAGAATTAACCAAGTGATGTTCCAGCCTTATTTCAAGAAAACAATTCTAGGGCGGGGATTTAGCCCAGTGGTTCTGCCGCCTGCCTCGCAAGCGCAAGGTCCCAAGTTCGATCCCCGGTACCAAAAAGAAAAAGAAAACAATTCTAGTAACGTTTACCCCAGAAGGGAGCCTAACCGGTGGAACGGTCAGTGGAGGGCTTCAGTGCGCACAGGAGGACTTGCTCCTTCCCTGGCAGAAGAGCAGCCAATTCTGTGATGGGTCAGCTTAGATCGTAAGCCGGCTGATGACCTCGCAGCCCGGCCGGCCAAGGGGCCGAGGGGCTGCCGATGGGGCGAGCCCACCCGGGAGGTGGCATCTGCGCAGGTCACAGCCCTTCCTCTGAAGTCTTCAGGTGAGGGGTGGGCAGCAGACAGGGCAGGTGGCTGGGGACGCTGGGGACGCTGGGGACGCTTCCGGCCTCTGCCCGGGGGAGACTCAGACCCCACCCCCAGCTTCTCTCTCTCCACGGAGCACAGAACGGAAGGGCCAGATGTGCAGGGGACTGTGTTTCCTTGCTCGTCCTTAGACACCTTCGCTTAGGATGAGTGCCCGGCTGGGATTAAGAGTCTAGACACTGTGAATTTGGTAATTTGATGAGTCGCTGATATTTTTGAAAAGTAGATTGAAGCTATTGTGGTTACTGCCAGTGTCCCCACGGTAACCGCTGTGTTTCGCCTTCTGCGCTCAGTCCCCGGCCGTGAGGGAGATCCTGAAGGAGCAGGAGAGCCGGAAGGGCCTCATCGCAGCCATCTGTGCAGGTAAAGCGGTGCACCTGTGCACTGCCCTCCCGGGAGCTCCTCCCCAGAAGGCCCGGGGCACCTGCGGGGTTACTCGGGCGCCGTGCAGTCGTGTTGTCTCAGCAGCCAGTCCTGCTGCTCTGCTGTCTGCCTCTCTGTGCCCTTTGCATACTGTGAAGCCACTGTTATGCGCGTCTGACCCCGGAGGCCCTCGGAATTCAGTAAACAGCCTGTTCCAGCAGACCTCACTGCCAGGAAGCGCGTCTGCCAGCATAGCAGTCAGCAAGAACCCGGCAGACGTAAACATGACCTCCTGCCCTGTGCTTGCCCTGCAGACTCAGAGCCAGGCCCTTCTGCCTGCCTCCCTCTTCTCAGTGCTGAGACCCTGGCCGTCATGTAGTGTAAGGTCTTCGGGCTTCACAGATGTCCCTGTGTCTGAGCTTAGTCACACTCTGTTTTCTGGTACCATTTGAATCTGCCTGTTGCTTTAATGTTAGCACAACAGGATTTTAAAGGAAGCTGTGGGCCGGGGACTGCATCTGAGCACAGTGCTGAGTCCTGGCAGGGTCAGAGCAGACACTGCCTGGGGCCGCATGCCGGGCCCTTGACAGTCTCCCAGGACCACTCTCAGGGCTGGAGCTGTCACCTGGGCAGGGCGTCAGGCTCTGGCATTCTCAGGCTTAAAACTTGCCAGTTCTGGGCTGGGGCAGAGCTCAGTGGGGAGTGTGAGCGCAGCACGCGAGAGGCCCTGGGCTCCATCCGCATTGCCCTTCCCGCAGAAGGCCCAGGTTTCACGTCTAGGAGCGGAAAGGACGGGATCCGAGGCCTCCGTGTTTGAGAAGGGCTATGTTGGGCCCTGAGGAGTCCTGAGAAGGCCACCCTGGCCCCCCTGGCCAGTGGCCTCTTGCTGTGCCAAGGGCCCTGTGGCCAGGTCCCGCCCCTCTCTGGAGAGTCCTGACTGGCTTCTGCCTGGTCTGCTGCTGGAGAAGCGGCCTCCTTGCAGATGCTTCGACCACAGGAAGAGAACGAGGCTTTGCCTGGGCCGCTTCCCCTACAATCCTGTCGAAACAAAGACTAAGGTCATCTTGTCCCTGAGATAGCAAGGTTACCATCCTGTGGCCAGGCAGCCGTGGGCCGTGCTGAGGACCTGGACCTGGCTGGAGCTGAAGCACACAGGAAGAAGAAAGGAGACTTGCAGCGTGTTGGTCCAGGGGCTGCCCAGAGCTGGCATCCTGGGAGGAGAGGGGATGCTGGGGGTGCCGGGCATGCGGACAGTGGAGGGCGGCGCAGAGCAGCCGGAAGAGATTCAGTGGTGGCAGTTGCCTGAGTCTTCTGCCGTCTTGCCCTGGGAATTAGAAACAGTTCTGCACTCAAAAGAACGTCAGGCGCTGATACTGAGGGAATTCGAGACAAATCAGAAGGGAGGCTTTCCTGAGCAGAAAGTAGAATGAGCTTCCTTTTGCTGGAGGAGCCACTGTCATAGGATGCTGGGTCCTGGAAGGGTTCCAAGCCAGGGCCACCTGCAGGAGCTGAGTCGGCCGGGGTACTCTTTCCCCGCATGTCCACTGGGTGGCGCTGCGGGACGAGGATTCTGCCCCTCTGGCTCTGGAGGGCCCTGTTCATCCATCAGGCCCTCCTCAAGTGACCGGGCCCAGAGTCTGACTCTCCAAATACGGTTCTTAGGCCTCAGCATGCAGCAGCTAGGAGCTCACATGGTAAGGGCATCAGTAAATCCTGCGTCCAGCTACCGCGCACATTAACATCGCTGTAGGCAACAGCGTTACCATCATGAAGGGGGCAGCCTGAGAATTCCTCCCTCGCTGTGGTGCCCTCCTCGCTGCACAGCCGACGCCTGGCTCAGTGTGAGTGTGAGGTGAGGTGCATCCCTTCCTTCTTCAGATCTTAGTAGATACCGAGAGCTGACTCCTCCATCCATTCCATAAAACAGTGATGACTTAAAGTTTACTGCCGTACAAGGCTGTCCCAAAAGTTGTAGAGAGGCACACGTTAGAGACCTGATGAAAGAGCTCCATCCGGCCCGGGGCTGAGGCGGACACTTGCTGCTTGGCAGAGCGCTCCTTAGAGGGAGCTCCCGATTTGGGCTCGCTCTGAGCGGCTCGGTCTGTCTCCTCAGAGTTACAGCCAGGGCGTCAGGTTTGCTGAGGCTACAGGCGCACAGGCCAGAAGGCCACGGCTGTTCTCATCCCGGTATAACGTGAGGCCTCAGCTGAGAGAAGGCACAGTAAAAACATTCTGACAGGGCCGGGGATTTAGCTCAGTGGTTCTGCCACTTGCCTCGAAAGCACAAGGACCTGAGTTTGATCCCCGGTACCAAAAAAAAAAAAAAAAATTTCTGACAGTTGAAGGTAACGTTTACAGTCCTTGCCATCAGTCTTTGAGCGCCATTATTTACAGGACCTGTGTGGTTTTCACTGAAGTTCACTATTTCCAGTGAATTCGTTCAGGTACAAAGCTCAGCTGCTGGTCAGGTATCTTAAAGCTTTCATCTTGGGAAGCGGGTTAGGGCTCCACAGCTGACATTTCTGCGCCGTTCTCTGCCTAAGTACTTTAGCAGAGTGACTTGTGCCTCTGTTTCTCAGCCTTCCCCAGGTTCCTCTTTTAGGGCAGCATGCTGCGCTGTTCTTTTCATAACCCTGCCACGAGGTATATTTGGGTGGGTGGATGTTTGTCTTCCACTTTCAGTTAGGAAGGTAAAATTATATAAGGCAAAGTGCAGCCGTTCCGAGGGCACAGGTTGCCTGCACCGTGCAGCTGACACTCACCGTGTGCTGAGAACAGGTTAGAAGTCGGCCTGCCTGCGGCCTCCCCTCCGGCTGCTGGCCGCACTTCCGGCTAGGTCATGCTGTACCGCCATGTCCATCAGCGCGAGAGCAGGTGACTGGGTACAGCTTGGAGTAAGTGGTGTTGAAGTATTTTGGGTTCGCACAAAGCTTTGTCACTTGCTCAGCAAGTGGCTTATAAAAAACGAACTTCTACTAAGAAATGTGTAATTTCAGAAGCCTAACTCTTCAGATAGGAGCTCCTGATTTGAAAGAATGCTTTTACTGTTGCAATTTCTAAGCATGGGTTTCTCTGCATCTGTGCTCAGATCTTTTTATTAATCTTATCTTTAGGTCCCACAGCACTGTTGGCTCACGAGATAGGCTTTGGAAGCAAAGTTACAACACACCCACTTGCTAAAGACAAAATGATGAATGGGAGTAAGTATATGCTTGTGTTTTTGTGCTCGCAGAGCCCTGGTCAGAACACTCCTTTAGTGTGCCGTCTCCCGAGTAGTATAAGGCAACTGGTGGGCTCCCCAGGGGCGCCCTCCTCGGGCTCAGCCTGGCTGGGTGGGGCGGCCACCCCCGACTGTTGCGGATGGAAGGCGATGGTCCAGTGCCAGTTTAATCAGTGTTCTTTCTAAACACTTTGCCAGCAGCCTAGGGTAAATTTTCTACCCAGACAGCGATTCAGAAAGTGCCCTTTTACCCGAAGTCCAAAGAAAAGGCCCAGGTACCCAGCAGGGCCTGCTCCCTGTGGACACATAGCCCTCACACATGCCAGCAAGGCCTGCAGATCTCATTAATTATCTTTATAAAAAGCACGTTCAGTTCATGGTGACACCTGCGAACAGTGTAGCACGGGTGGCGTGAAAGGCTGCACTCTTCCCTCCCCTGCCATCCCTCCTGTCAGAGGTGACGTCTGTGAAGTGTCTTGTAGAGCTCTAGAACTTTCTCTGCACTTGCTGCGCTTCCTTTTTGATATTTTTACTCAGATGAGGTCCACTAAGTGCATTGTTCTGCAGCTTGCTTTTGTTGTTTTCTAGATGGGCTGTCACCGTGTTGCCCAGGCTGGCCTTGACCTCTTAGGCTCAAGAGATCCTCCTGCCTCAGCCTCCTGGGAGCTGGGCTGACAGGCATGTGCCATGCACAGCTGTGGCTTGCCCTTTTATCTTAGGAATGTTTCTGCCAACTCACTGTAGGGCTGTGGCAGGTCCCTGATCTCTCAGAGCCTCATTTTCCTCACCTGTCCTGTGAGGGTCATTCCCCAGCTCAGGGAGCTAATGTATATGACATGCCTGAACACTGACTGGCCTGGGGCCTGAGCGGGATGCAGGTGTCACTCATGAGGGGCTGTCCCTGGACCATGTGGAGGACACGGTAAAGGCTGCCCTCCCCTGGCGACCATCTTGAGTGACACTAGGACTTAGGTGGCTCAGAGCTGCTGAAGGCAGACCCGGGATTTAAGCCAGAAAGCGCAGTGTTCAGGGGTGGCCAGCGTCTCTGCAAGGCCAGGAGTCTTGGGCCTCCTGGGGCTTCAGGTCTGGACCTCAGTTGGCTGTCCTAGCTCCAAAGTGAGCAGATTGGGGTGGCTTCGTGCCAGTAAAATATTATCGACAAACCCAAGTAGCAGACACAAAAACAAGTAGCAGCTTTTAGTCACTGACCCCTTTGTTTGTCCCTAGGGCCCCCACTGGCTTTTTCTCCTAAGAGATTTCCTGGCCTTGGGATTTTTTGCCTAAAGCTTAAGAAAAAAAATCAATGCCACATGCTACTTTGAGCATGCGGTATAAAATATGTCAGTTCACCCTGCGTCCAGAATCCCATGAGGCTGGGTTTGGGGTTTCCCCTTGCGTGGCTGTTCTTCATCACTACCACTAGGTGGAGCGGTTGACAAGTGAAAACCTTTCCAGTTAGATTTTTGAAGAGAACTTTTAAACCCATCAGTGGGTTTCCGCCCTGCCTGTAATGTTTTACCTGCAGAGCTGCTGCCAGGTGAACCACTGACCAGGCCTCACCTTGCCTGGTCCTCTGTGGCCCCTCTCCTGCCCGGGAGGCCCAGCCCAGGCGCCTTCCTAGTTTAGCCCTGAAACAGTCTTGGCCTGTTGTGGCTGTCAGGTGAGGTGAGCACATGAAAACCTTGTCCATTCCAGCCAGGACATTGCTTTTCCTGCAGTAGTGTAAGGGGGATGCTTTGGGCGTTTTAGTGAGATACGAGATATCGACCACCTTGGAAAGAAAGGGATCTGAGGGTGGGACTCCGGAGCACATCACTCTGCCTGCCCTGAGTGTGCCCATGCCACCTCAGGGGTCCCCTCAGTGGTGCCCGTGTTGCGTCCTGCCCTAGCAGGGCCAGGCGGTCGTGCGTCCATGCCTGTGCCCTGGTGTCCTGTGAATGTGCTCACCACTGGTGGGAGGGTCACCATCACCCACAGCTGGGAGGAGCAGCTCAGGGCTGCTCTGTCTGGCTCCTCCCCGAGTTCTAGGTCTCAAACGTCCCGCCCGAAGCTGCCCCCTGGGTCCTTTCCCTGATCTGTCCTGGGGCAGACCCCAGGGACCTCGTGCACCAGGAGTGGAGTGAGGGTCCCCTGCCTGGCAGGGGTGGCAGGAGCCCCAAGCTTACTTTCCTGGCTGCAGAGCCCGGAAGGTGAGCAGGTTGGGCCACGGTGATGCAGAGCCTGCTGGAAGCAGTGGGGAGACCAAGTCAGGATGGCCCCTTGTGTGCCTCCTCTGTCTCCAGGGCGGGGGCAGGCGAGGCTGAGGAAGGGCCACCCTCCGAGCCTGGCCACACAGGGAAACCGAGGGTTGGTGGAGAGGGTCGTGCAGGGAAGGCGCTGTGGGGCTGCGGGCCGTTCCCATGCACTGGATGTCCTTGGAGGAGCCCAGCCTTACCGAGCCGGGCTGGTCCTGGAGCGCCGCTCTGCCCACTGGCCTTTGGGTGCTGTGCTCCCAGCGGCCCGGGGCGCTGCCCATCAGGATGCGACCTCTTCTCTGCTGCAGATCATTACAGCTACTCGGAGAGCCGTGTGGAGCGGGATGGCCAGGTGCTCACCAGCCGCGGCCCGGGCACCAGCTTCGAGTTCGCGCTGGCCATCGTGGAGGCGCTCAGCGGCCCAGAGGTGGTGCAGCAGGTGAGGGCACCGCTCGTGCTCCGAGACTAGAGCCTCCCCAGCGCACAGCGGCCCCACCGGCCCGCACCCCACTCCTGTGTCCTCGCATTTCGGAATAAAAGGGCAGCTTACAGCTGCCCATGGCTGCTGCTCCGTCCCTCGTGTCTCTTGTGAGGTCAGGTTCAGTGTGCAGCTCGGGGTGGGACGTGGACGGGGCTTTTACTGCTGCAGGTGCTGTTAAAGTACCGGGGGGAGGGCTGGGGGCGCATACCTGTCATCCCAGTGCTCTGGAGGCTGAGGCAGGAGGGTCGCAAGTTCAAGTCCAGTCAGGGTAACTTATTGAGACCCTGCCTCGAGATAAAAGGGTTAGGGCTGGAGCCTGTGCAGAGGCCTTGGGTTCACCCCCAGTTCTGAGAAACAAAACAACAAACTACCAGTGAGGTGGGCTGTTGTGTTTGTGAAGCAGTGCCCCCAACCTCGCAAAGCTGAAGCATCCACCTTCCCCTCCTCCACTGAGTGCCCAGCACTCCTGGGAAGCATGCAGCCCCTGGGTAGGTCAGGGGGACACATGGCCCTGGCCCACACCTGACGCCTCGCCCCTGACCACGCCATCCAGACAAGGAGACACGGGGCCCTGTGCAGGCTGCTGGTGTTCCACCTGCTGCTGAGGTGGAGAGGAGATGCTGAGCTGGAGCACTGGCAGCTATCTCATTACTGTGAGGAGGCGGCTCCTGATTCACAGGCCAAGGCAGCTGTTAGCTGTGTAATTGCACATTTTGGTGAGCAGTGTGAAAGATAGTAAAGGCCGTGCAAGAGTGAAGGACCAGGAGTGTTTACACAGCGGGGCACGTGACACCAGAGTAGATTCTCTGGTCAGCACTTGCTGGGCTGCGGACAAGCCAGTGCGAGCTGTGGGCCGTGTCATGTGAAGGGGGAGGGAGAACAAACCTAAAAATGCATCCTAGGAAGAAGGGTGAAGTGGCAGTGACAGGGAAGCCCCCATAAGGGACCTGGGAATCTGCAGAAAGTGGATGTGGAAGAGGTAGCCCTACAGAAGAGACAGGAAGTGCAGAGGCCCTAGGGCAGGAGCCAGCAGGCACGGAAGGTTTCGTGGGCAGTCGGGGCTCCAGGACTGGCCCGGGGAGAGGTGCGGACCCCAGGGGGACACACAGAGGGTTCAAGGACAACTCCCATGTGTGCCCCTCAAACCCAGGGCCGTGGAGAGCCACCATTCCAGAGTTGCTGCGGGGAGGCCTGGGAGTGGGCTTCGGGCTCGGTGGATGAATCTGGTGTCTGGGGCGCCTGGGGATGAAGAGAGAACAGGCCCTGTGACTGCGGGTCTCCGGCCAGGGTGGCCAGGAAACAATTTCCTCCCAGCAGTGATGTGTGGGGATCGGATAGGGCGGGTGCTGATCCGCCCTCAACCCCTGCCTGGAGCAGCTTCCAGAGACCGGAATGAGTGCAGAGACTGCGGCTGTGGGCGCCCAGCGGTCTCTGGAGAAATCAGCTGCCATGGGGCGAGCGCTTATCGAGCCGCACATCTCGGGAGAAGATCGCTTCCTGGCGTCGGGGGCAGGGGTTCCCGGAAGCCGCCTTATCAGACCCCTGGGGCTCTGGCCATTCTGGAATTTCTGGCTTTGGCCAGTGGAGAGCAGGAGCCTCTGCCTCCTGCTCCTGCTCCTGCTCCTGCTCCGGACACAGCTGCCAGCTGCTCTGGGCGGAGGGGCAGGCAGGGTGGGGCGCAGTCTGCGCTTGCACTATGGCTTGGAGTTGAGCTCGGCAGCCTGGGGCTGCCAAGGTTGAAGTTCACCTGCAGGATTTAGTCTTTCTTTTGTGTTTTTTACTTTTTTGGCAAAAGTTCATTCATCTTGGAGACCAGACCTGCGTGGTGGAGGCAGGGCTGGCTGCCCAGGGCCCCAGAAGAGATGTCACAGGGGTCTTGGGACCCGGTCCCTGGCCGGAAGCTCGGCTGCCATGGCCAAGTCGAGGGCATTCCTAGGGACCCGCCTCTGGGGACAAGATGGCAGCCACTCTTCTGGGGGCTCTGCTGCCCAGGTGCTAACGGTGCCCAGCGCAGCTGTGAACCAGGCCCCTGGAAGGTAGGCTCACGAGTCTGTTGGGGTTTGTTTCCCTGCACGCTTTACATGAACAGCGTTACATGAGGCCACACGGTCTGCCCTTACTGTCCACTCATGATGACCCACAGAACGTCTCCCCTTCTGGGCTGGGTGATGCCTGCGAGCTGCACCTCCACTCCAGCAGCCAGCAGCCTACAAAGTGGCCACTGTCTCACCATGTAAGAGGGCGAAGCCCGGTCTCGAGAGCTCGAGAACCCGTCTGTCCTGTGCCATGGGACTGTCATAAAACGAGGCTGTGGTCAGCAGGGAAGGGTGCTCAGCCCGGAGACGGAGCTGGGACCTGTCTCCTGCCAGGTGTCCCTGCAGAGGAGAACATTAACTCCTCCCCGAGCACACGCTGCACACTCAGTGGGGTGTTTTGAGAAAATGCCCACCTTGGCCCGGCCTGGGGGCAGCAGCTGGGGGTGCCCATCCCCTGGGCTTCAGTTTGAGCCCAAGGCACCTGGGCAGCACTGAGGAAGAAGGCCATGAGGGCTTTGCCCCTACCGCCACTTTCACCAGCCCACTGCTGCTGCCATGCTTACCCTCACCACTGCCACCCCCCACATCACCCTCACTTCCTGCAGCCCCCGGGGGGCTGTTTCAGGCTCCCCAACAAGTCCCAGGCAGCAGGGTCCCGGAAGAGATGCCGAGGGCCACCTGCCTGTGGCTCCAGCCCTGCATCTGTGTCATAGAGCCACTCCATCCTGCTTTCTTGGTCCCACGTGGGAGCAGCTGCAGAGCTCCGGGTCGGGTCCCAGGCTCTGCAAAGCCATAGATTAACTTTAGGATGGAAAGCTGGTGGTCTTAAAAGGTACCGAGGGACAGGTGGCATTGGTCACTGGGCAGCGGTGTGGAGCCTGGCGGGTGGCGTTGCCATCTGGGGTCCTCATCTTCTTGGATGCTGCTTTGCCTGACAGGTTAGCACGCCACAAGAAGTGTGCCTGGCTCAGGCTCCCCTTCCCCTGCAGAATGCCGTTAGTGAAGTGTACAGAGGGGAAAGCAGGGTTTTCTCCCAAGATCCAGGTGCGGTGTAGCTGAGCCTTCACCCTCCTCTGTTCTCTGGTGCCCGTCTACAGAGTGGAGGCCTAGCGTGACTCGTGTGCTGCTGGCAGTACCGGATGACCAGGCCTGGGGGCGCAGGGCCACTCAACCTGCCGGACAGGGGAGGGATAACCCCGATCCTCCCTGGCTCGGCACAGCCCTTGGCTGCGGCAGTAAATCAATGCAGGACTGAAATGCCAACTTCCCAGGCAGGGATGAGGTCACCATGCTAACACTGGTCACGCTTCCACACGTGTACCCAGGAGGGAGAGCCACTTGGGCACCTACGCCACAGCCACTTAGCTCGGGTGGCGCTCGTACCCTATCATTAGTCCAGGAGGCATCAGCTTTAGTGCCACCTGGGCCTTAAAAGACTTTTGGAAATGTAATTACACAAATACGTCAACACCTGCTGCTTGGAAAAGGCTCGAACAATACAGGAACACATTGAGCAAGACTCAAGACTCGGAAAGTCTTTCCGGCCTCTCCTGGTCCCTCTTCCTGTCCAGAAAAGTCTACTTTGGGGGTCCCAGTTCCAGTTTCTTTCACACAAATCTGCAGATGTGTCATGGTACAAACCCATACCCACCCCTGAGATATTGTTTCGTACATACACAGACAGTACTCGATAGTTTCAAAAGTTATTTTTGAACAAATAGATAACGGGAGCTATTATCGTGTACTTTGTTTTGCAAATTGGATTTTTTTTTTCTTCGAAACTTAGTATGTCTTGGAAATCTGCCAGTGTCAGGTCGACTTTGTTTATATAATAGTGGGACAGGAATCCACAGCACAGCTGTACTGTAAAGCATTTAACCGTTTCTCCTCTGAAGGATTTCCTCCCAATTAAAAAAAAACTAACTGGGTGAGATGGTGTGGGCTTGTGGTCCTGGCTGGTCTGGAGGCTGAGACAGGAGGGTTGCTTAAGCCCAGGAGCTCAAGGCCAGCCTGAGCAACATGGCAAGACCTTATCTCTGTAAAGAAAATGTGCAAGGCCCAGGGTCCAAGCACTGTAAAAGAAAAAAAAATGAAGTACATGAATTCATTTTTACTGTGATAAAAATACCCAATGCAGAATCTGTCATCCTCACCATTCCGAAGCGTGTGCTTGTGCGGCATCACTACACGCAGTCCTGTGTTGTGCGCTCCCCGTTTGGTGACACGGGACTCCCCTCCTCCAGCCCCGGCAAACACCAGGCCACTTTCTCTGAATTGGACCCCTCCGGGCGCCTTGCTCCAGTGGAGTCCTGGCTTGCTTGACTTAGCTGGGTGTCCTGGGGTGCGGTCTCCTTCCTCCCGAGCTCATGATTTGCATTTACCTAAGGACGATGAGGCTGCGGGTCTGACCTGGGGTTCTGTGTGTCTTCACCAGAGAAGTATCTCCTCGAGCCCTTTGCCCATTTCAGAATGGGATTTTGTTGATATCAATGGGTTGTTGTGACTTTTACAGTTACTCAGTATTTTTAAATGTCTTTCGGAGCCAGGCACGGTGGAGTTCTGCTCCTGTAGCCCCAGCTACAGCTGAGGCAGGAGGATCTCCGAGTCCAGGAGGTCAAGGCTGGCTACCCTGGGCGAGATACTGAGAACCTGTCTCAAAAAGTCAGAGCGCTGGGTTTGTAGCGCAGTGGTGGAGGGCTTGGGTAGCATGTGTAAGGTCCTGGTTCGATCCTCAGTACCACCAACACCAAAAGAAAAGTTTTAGGACAAATTTGTGCCTACCTCTTTGAGCAGGTGTAAATATTTTTAGAGAATTCTGTGGATCCAAGAGCAGGCTGATTTTAATTTTCGTAGATATGGCCAGGCTGTTCTTTCCTTTGCCTTTTCCTTCTGCGCTCAAGGTTGCTGATTATTATCAGTCTCTTTATTTTTATTTTAAAAGTCCTTGCTGTGAAATAGCTTATATGCAAAGAGACGATGGGAATGCGGCCCAGGCCAGCAGAAATGAATGCCGTCCATGCCGTCCGTCTGATCCAAGGGCTTTCTTAGCGG